ACACACACACACACTACACAGGTGCTAGAACCCCTGGGCTCAAAACTGGTGTTCACTGGGAGTGGTGGCACGCGCCTGTAATCACAGCACTTGGAAGGCTGAGGCAGGAAGATCACTGTGAGTTCCAGGACAGCCTGGGCTACACAGTGAGTTCAAGCCCAGCCTGAATTACAGAGCAAGACCTTGACTCAAAAAACGAAAGCAAAAGCAAACAAACAACAAAAAAACTTGGCTGTTCCTCCCATGTGACCTTGGAATGACCTTATACTCCGTTACTCTCGGTTTCCTCTATTTGCAGTGGAGATAGCCAGTGGGAACCACGGCGGGGGCGGGGGTGTCGGGTTTTGAGTAAAGCTCTGAAACAGAGCACAGACTTAGCACGTGATGCTGATGTTCTGCCCCTTGAGGAAGTCGGTACACACACGATCTGCCTGCTTTCCACCTCCGTCACTGCCCACCCATCTTAACAAATCTACCCAGCGGTATTTCACTGCCAAAAACTCCCCACTGATTTCCTTTTTTTGGGTGGGGAGAGACACTGGGGACAGCTTTTGCACCGAGCTACATCCCCAGCCCCTTTACAATTCTTTTTATTTTGAGACAGGATCTCAAGAGATGGCCCCCCGAGGACACCCGCGATCACCAGAGCCAGTGCGGGCCACGACGACCTGGGCCCAGGCCTCTGCGGCTTCTGCGTGCGCTTCGCTGGCCCCACAAGGTGGCGCCGTAGCACAGGGGGACCCAGCCCTCAACCTCCTGGCGCCTCTGCAGCTGGGAAGCGGGGGTGATCGCAGTTCCTACTGCGGGGGAGGTTGAGATGAAGTCAGTTCACATTTGTGAGGAGCCGCGAATGGTGCCTGGGACAAAAAAAGTGAGCTTGCTCAGCGTGGTGGCGAACACCTAGCATCCCAGCTGCTACTCGGGAGGCTGAGGCAGTAGGATCAAAAGTTCCAGCCCAGCCTAGGCAACTTAGAGGGGACCCAGTATCCAAATTAAAAAAAAATAAAAGGGGCTGGGGATGGAGCTCAGCGCTCCTGGGATTAGAGACCAATGCAGCCAAAAAAAAAAAAAAAAGAGGAGCAGGAAGATTTTAAAAAAAGGTGAACTGTGGTTCTCCCTTTCAATAAGGAAATCGCCCCTCCCTCCTCTTCCTCTTCCTTCCCTTCCTCCTTCTTTTCAGAACTGGGGATCGAACCCAGGGTCTCTGCACTGAGCTGCATCCCCAGCCCATTTTTACTTTTCAGTGTAAGACTGAGTGTTGTTAAGTCACTAAGTTTCTCAGGCTGGGCTGGAGCTTTCGATTCTCCTGCCTCAGCCTCCCAAGAGAAGGGAGAGGAAAAAAAGGAAAACCTCTTTCAGTTAGCACATCAGCAAGTGGGCTTTCTAGAGGGGGTGCTGAAGTGCAGATGCAGCCTTCATGGTGAGAAGGAGTTGGAGCCTCGGTGGGGACATGGCCTTCTGTGACTCCTGGGTTGAACTCATTGTCCCAGACCCTATGTGAAGTACATATCTTAGTTCATGGGCAACCCAGCCATGTCTGACCTGCAGGAGAAGGTGAGGGGTGGTGGGCTTGGGAGCTCCCTTGGCCCCCACGACCTATGTTCCTGTAGAGATGGCCCCTCTAACCCATGCTTCTGCTGCTGTTTCCTGACCTACTGGGGAGGGAGAGAGAGAGAGGGAGAGGGAGATGGAGAGAGAGTGTCAGAGAGCTCAGGACATGAGCTGCGGAGTCAGGAGACTCAAACTTGCTGCCACCTTGCTGTGTGAGCTTAGGTAAATTACCTAACCTCTCTGTGCCTCAGTTTCCACATCTGTCAAAGTTAACAGGCACATCAGCCTCAAGACTATTGAAGGAACAAAAGAGTTACAGGTTGAGCACCTCTATTCAGAAAAACTGAAATCCCCACAACTCTGAAACCATTTGAACACCAAAAAGACAACGTGGAAAATTCCATACCATGAAACTTGAGCATGAGCCCCTCAAACTCAAAATATTGTATAAAGTTATCTTCCAGCAACGTGTGTAAGGCTTGGATGAAACAAATGGATTTCGCATTTAGACTTGGGTCCTGTGCTCAATACAACTTTTTTTTTTTTTTCATCTTTTTTGAGACAGGGTCTCGCTATGCAGTTCAGGCTGGTCTTGAGCTCACTTTGTAGCCCAGGCTGGTCTCAAACTGGCAAAGATCCTCCTGCCTCAGCCTCCTGAGTGCTGGGATTACGGGTGTGTGCCACCACAACTGGCTTTCAAGACATCTTATGTCCACGAGAACAGTCCAAAGTCCAAAATAATCCCAAATCTGAGACACATCTGGTCCCAACAGTTCAGATAAGGGACGCTGCCCCTGGATTGGGTATAAAGCCCTTACAACAGAGCCAGACATGTAGTAAAAACTCAACCCACTCGTACTTTGTTTTATAAGTTAATAACCAATTGTAAGTATCGCTGTTGCTTGCTGTTGTCTTCTCTCTGTAGCAGCCTGCATCTCCCCGGCTGTTTTGAGTGCCTCCATCCTTCTCTCTCCCCTTCCTGGGTCCCTGGCCCCGGCCAGCCTGTCACAGGCTCCCTGCCTCTGTTCTTGTTCCCTTCTGTCCTCTGGCCGCATGTGACTGCCAAGACAGGAGCGGTCTGTGGAAAAGAGCTTCAATCAGCGAACAGAAGCGACAGGACCTCTGTCCCTCCAAGGCAGAGAGAAGTCGATGTTAGAAAAACAAACACACAAAAGCCAGGCATGGTGGTGCAGGTCTGTAACCCCAGAGCTCTGGAAGGCTGAGGCAGGAGGATCAAGTTCAAACCCAGCCTAGGCAACTTAGTGACGCAGCGATACCCTGTCTCAAAGTAAAAAATAAAGAGGAGGTAAGGGCAGAAGCTGGGGAGGGGCCTACCAGGACTGGGGAGCCCCGGGAGGTTGGGGTTATGTTTTGGGGGTGCAGTCGAAGAACAGGAGCCTGGGCAGGGGCCGGGCCAGTGTTGGGTATTCGAACCCTCCCTCTTGGGTCTCTTTTTAAAAGGACTTCTCAGAGCTTAATGCCCTCTCTTTTTCCGGGGCATTTCCTCTTGGACCTCGCTTCTCTGTCTCCGTGTCTCTGCGTGTCTCTGTGCGGCCGTGTCTCTTGCGCCCACCCTGCCGGGCTCTTCTTTCTCTGTCTTTGGCTCTCTGGCTGTCTCCATCTCTGCGTTTCTCAGCTCCTTCCCGTCGTCTTCTTGTCCCTCCCGGCCCTTGCTGGGCTCTTGCCTGTCATCTCTGTCTCTCTTGGTCATGGCTTTCTCTACCCCTAGCCCAGCCCAGATTCTGACCCAGGGGCTTCACCCCAAACAGCTGCCCCCTGCCGGATGGGGACAGTGCACAGTGTGACCCCCCCCACAGGACAGGGACAGGGACAGGGACAGGGACAGGGACAGGGCTGCCTCCCCATTCCCCTTTCCCCCTCCTTCAGCACCCAGCCTGGCCCTGGCACCAGCCCTGCCCCAGAGCCCTGACTGTGGAGGTTAGCCACAGCCCCGTCCTGTCTTCCTTGTGGTCAGAGATGCTGGGCCCAAAACGGGTGTGGGGGGCAGGAGGGAGCCGCAGGGAGACAGACAGACAGACAGACAGGTGGAGACAGCTGGAGAACTAGACAGACGCCAAGGCAGACCAGAGACAGAGGCGGGACAGAAGGGGACACTTGTCAAAGAGTCAGAGACAGGAGAAACAGAGGATAGAGATGACAGCCAGGGAGAGACAGAGAGGGGGCCAGAAAGACAGGGCCCAGAGGGAGACAGAGATGGGAAGAGGGTGATAGGGACGCCGCCTTCCCCGCTCCAGACGGCCCCTGCGGCTTCGGGCGCCGGCCTGTGGTCTACCGCGGCGGGGCACTGGTGATGTCACCCCGCCCCACTCTAACCGAGCCCAGGTCTCCCGGCCTTCGCGGCACGGCCCCAGCCCCCAGCGCCCCTCTGAGCAGCGTGCCCCCAACCTCCGCCGCCTGGGCTCCCGCTGTCCCCCGCCGCTCCCCGACCCCAGCCATTCTCCATGCAAGATGCCTGAAGAAGTGAATGAGACCCTGTCTCGGGTCACTCCCTGTTACTTCCGGCTTCAAATCCATTGCCGTAAAACACAACGGAAGCCCTCAGCCCCCGCAATGAAAGTCCTTCGCTCTCCGCGGACGCTCCAAGCCTTCTTGCCGCCTGGAAGGCCGTACCGCACCCCCGCTCCCCCCGCACCAGTCTCTCTGCTGCAGTGTCTTCTTCTCAGACAGTGCCCAGCGGGCTGCTGCCCGTACTTTCCTCTGCTGTCCGCCCCGAGTGAGGGCATTTTGCTTGTGCCTCGCTGGCCCCCGGCCTGACACAGAAATTGGAGCGTGACAGGTGAGGGAGCGAGGGCTCCCAGCGCCCAGCGCCCTGCAAGGTGCTTCACTTTCTGAGCGGGAGCCACGGTTACCCAGATCCTGTAGATGGGGTGCGGCCACCTGACCAAGATTCCCAAGGCAGCACTGCGTGCAGGCTGGTTTGGCCTTTGTACACCCCCGGGGCATGTGCTGAGGTCGCACGGGAGGGGAGGGAGCGAGGCAGGGTGAGAGGGACGGGAGCAAATGACAAAGAACACAAGAGAGAGGGAAGATGGGAGAGAGCGAGAGAAAGACCATGAGAAAGGGGCTGCGGATTTAGCTCAGAGGCACAGCGCCTGCCTGGCAAGCGCAAGGTCATGAGTTCGATTCTGGGTACCAGGAAAAAAAAAGACCACGAGAAAGAGTGAGGGAGGACAAGAACAAAAGAACACAAGGAAAAGAAATGGAGAGAGAGGAGAGGGGAGAGGATCAGAGAAGAAAGGGGCTGGGTCTCGGGGTCCCCTCCCTGGGTCGCTGCTCCCAGCCCACTGGGTCCCTGCCCACCCGCTGGCATGGCGGCCTCCCAGAGACTGGCACTGGCAGACTGCAGCACCTGCCCCTTGGAATGTGCCCTGGGGGAGGGCAGGCCGGCCCAGACTGAGGGCTTATAAACCTGCTGAGGCCCTGCTAGAGGCAACTCCGCACAGCCGTGCGCGTGGCAGAGTGGCAGAGTGGCAGAGTCCAGGAGCCCAGAGGCAGCCAGGTAAGCAGCACAGGGGCCCCACCCAAAACCATGGTGGCCTGTGTGAGCCACCTTTTGCAGCAGCTGAGCGTCACCGCCATCCTTGCCTGGGGGGCCCGTCTCCTCATCCAGTGGGTCCCCCTCCCTGGTTAGAGCCCCCTCTCCAACACTGTTCCCAGCTCCTCTGCTCTCAGCCAGCCTCAGATTGGGTCTCTCAAACCCTGCTTCTTTCCGGGTCTTAACCTGTCCCTGAGGGGCCACACCTGCATCTCCTACCTGTCACAGGTGGCTGGCCTTTCTCCCACTCCTCTCCACCTGCCCTCCACCTGTGAGGGGTAGAGTGCTGGATGGTGTAGGGTCCCGCCGCCCCGTAACATCCTAGGGAAGGAAGGAGAGAAAGAGGGCCGGGTAGGGGTGGAAAGCCTTGGGCTGAAAGCCCCCAGATTTAAAGCCCCCAGTCCCCGTCTCCCCAGGTACCTGCCGTCATGATGGTCACAGCAGGAAACCCCTGGAGCTGGATTCTGGGGCACCTCGTCCTTGGGGTCACAGGTATCTCAGCGTGTGGGTGTGTGGCATACTGTGGGTAATGCATGTGACGCTAGGACGAGGTCGCCTGCTGAGGCTGCCCGTGTGTGATTCCCCCTCGAGGTGTTTGTGTGTACGGCAGGCTGTGCGGCTGTCCCTGAAGTAACACTCTGGGCGTTATTGAGGGCCCAGCCTCCACAGTTTGTGGCCCCGAATAGCCCCGGAATGACCGGGCTGAGGATGCTGTGGGGAGAGACAGGCAATGCTAGATAGGACTGGTGCCTGCTGCCTGGGCTGCCAGCCCTCAGACTCCCGAAATCAGTCCCTCTGTGTGTGTGTGTGTGTGTGTGTGTGTGTGT